TGTTACATATAATCTGCAAACATATATATTTTTTCAGTAGCGAAACTTTTTGGAAGACTTGCTCACATAGATTTCTGGAAAGATGGAGGATCACAGGTATACTTGCAGTCAAGAATATTTCTGACATAAGTATTTTTTAAAATGTACACGTCTTCAGAAATCAAGAAATTAGTAGAAACTTTCTGTGCATGGACACTTGCATGAATGAGTCAGAAACATTTTTAACTTCAAAACCTATCACTTTCCTTCCATTATTCCAGCTTCATTTTAAACACAACAGAAAGGCCTGCATTTTCCCCATTCAGAAGAATATTAGAGTCTCACAGAAATTTGAACTTTTGGTTGTTCTGAATTTTTGGTGGTTTTCTTCCATCTAAAATCTCCTTAAAGATGGACTTCTTAAAAAAAATCCTACTGATCAGAAATTCTTCTAATCCACAGCAATTTTATTCACTGCTGGAGATGAGCTAACTAGGATGATACTGTTTTTGAAAGATGAAAGGTATTGAAGTCACTCTATGATGTGGAATTTGATTAGTTCTGAATACTGCTTTAAATTAAGCTTGTGTGTTGGCTTGAACAAGTGGGCATAAGGTCAGTCTTTTCTCTGAGTACAGAAGCTTGATGGTCAGAAGGTCACCACTTGGCCCTCCATTTTCACCTGATATTCCGTTAGTTGGTGACCAGAAAATAACAGTGGGGACAGCTATGACAGTTTATTTCCTGTGTGTACAGATTTTTAGAAATATCCTCTTGAGCAGTTAATTACTTCAGGGTTAATGTTATCCATAACAAATGGAACATGTTTTCAGCATTTTACTTAAGAAGGAAAAAGTAGGAAAGAAAATTGAATAATTAAGACCTCAATTTGAAATTACCTCCTGATTAAATACTCATGGAGAAATGGAAAAGAAACCACACCACCTCATTCTAATTTTGCCATCACCTTCGGGCTTTAATGCCACTAATTGAAGGGATATTTTGAAAGAATTTTTCTTTATGCACTTCTGATAACTTCTCTAGAAGGTGTCTAATGAGACAACCTTTCTTAATAAGGTTTATTAATTTTGAGATTTTTTTTAAGCACTGATCACCATTCTGACTGACTAAATTGACCACTTACAAAATTTTTAGGAATAAAGCACTGCGATAGTGGTTCCATTTGTTCAAGTAGATTTGCTATGTAAAAGCCAAATTGGGAGACCTCACATGTTTTGCTTTCAGAGGCTGGACTCTGGAATAATTAACAGTAGGCTCGTTACACAAAATTTGGTTTATAGTTCAAATGGAGGGAAAAATTAAATTGATTTTCCTTCCTAAAACTGCTATTTTTTTGATCCCCAAAATTATCGACCATGAGTTCTTACTTCAAAGTGGAAAACTATAGTAATTCACAGTTGCATTTAAAATTCAAGTACAGAACTGTTTACTGACCGTTCATAGTGATAAGAATAAACCTAAGCTCAAATACAAAGAATACTCCAGAAACAGTAGGATTTTCAGCATGCCAAATATATGGTCCTAAGTTCTGATTAACATTAGATTCTGAATTTCCAGTCCTATCTTTGAAGCAAAACTGAGACTGTGATTCCCAAATTGCATACTTTCGTCATTTCTCACGTACTATGAACGAAATTTCAACATGTATTTACGATGTGGGTTATTTTTTCTTTTGTAATGTTTAAAGGCAGAGGAGCAAATAGTGAATCCTTGATATGAGTCCTACTAATACGTGTGAGGTCACAATAAACCAGGAAGATGACTGGACACTATTCACATTGTGCCTGCATTCCTTACAGACACATTACTTATTTCCTCCCTGACTAGAATGTAAACTTCATTGTTGAAGGACCAGTATCATCATCTATCACTGCACTACAAACCACGATTTAGCTCCCTCTTATAATTCCAGTATATTAGGTCTTGAAAGCTTAGTACCATTCTGTATATTAAATTGTATCTTCATGAATTCACATAGTATTTGCCTTTGCTGCAGTGAGTTTCTTCCAGTGTTTCCAGCAGTGAGAGACCATTGTCTGTATCTCTTGTCCTAATAGTGCAGCTATAAAAACCTTCTGAGCTGTTTGACAGTAATACTTGCTAACGTCTACAGCAGAGCATTTAAAATCAATGTCTACTGATATATACCCGAGCAATATGTACCTGCAAATTTTGAGACATTAATCAAGAAAATTCTAATACTTATTTTGGTGGCTTTGTTATAGGCAAGGACATGTCTTGTTTCAGATTATATTTGTGCACAAAAGTATACGTTGGGTCAGGAACAAGGTAAGAATGTCCCCTCTCACCACTCTCTTTCAACATCATACTGGAAATCCTAGCTAATGTAATAAGAAAAAGAAAAAACAAAGGTACACATATCGGGAAGGAAGAAATCAAGCTGTCTTTGTTGATCTGATTTTAGAAATCCAAAAGAATCATCATCAACAGCAACAACAACAAAAAACTCCTGGAACTAATTAGTGATTGTAGCAAAGTTTCAGGGTATAAGGTTAATATACAAAAGCCAATCGCTTTCCTATATACCATCAATGAACAACTGGAATTTGAAATTAAAAACACAGCACCGTTTCCATTAGCACCAAAACAAAAATACTTAAGTATAAATTTAGCAACATATGCACATGATCCTCATAAGGAAAACTACAAAACATTGATGAAAGAAAGCAAAGAAGATCTGAATGGTGAGACACTCAATGTTCAACGGATAGGAAGGCTATGAAGACTCAGTATGGTTAAGATGTCCGTTCTTCCCAATTTGATCTATAGATTCAGTACAATTCCAATAAAAATCCCTGAGTTACTTTATGGATATCGACAGGAGGTTTGTGTGGAGAGTTAAAAGTTCCAGAAGAGCCAGCACAACACTGAAAAAGAACAACAACATTGGAGGACTGGCCCTACCCAACTTTAAGACTTACTGTAAAGCTACAGTAATCAAGACAGTGATTCAGTAGCACTGGTGAAAAAATAGACAAATAGGTCAATGGAACACCAATAGAGAGCCCAGAAATAGACCCACATAAACGTAGTCAACTAATCATTGACAAAGGAGCAAAGGCAATTCAATAAAGGATAGTCTTTTCCACTGATTTTGCTGGCAAAACAGAACATCCACAGGCAAAGAAACCCACGCATGTAGCACAAAGATATCATGAAAAATAGCTCAGTTAGATCATAAATCTAAATGTAAAAACAAAACTGTAAAACTTTTAAAAGAGAATAGAGGAGAAATTTTACGTGACTGTGGGTTTGGCAATGACTTTTTTTAAAAAAATAAATTTATTTATTTTATTCTTGGCTGCGTTGGGTCTTCGTTGCTGCGCGCGGGCTTTCTCTAGTTGGGGCGAGCAGGGGCTACTTTTTGTTGTGGTGCGCGGGCTTCTCACTGCGGTGGCTTCTCTTGCTGCGGAGCATGGGCTCTAGGCACGCGGGCTTCAGTAGTTGTGGCTCGCGGCTCAGTAGTTGTGGCTCACGGGCTCTAGAGCACAGGCTCCGTAGTTGTGGCGCACGGGCTTAGTTGCCCCCGTGGCATGTGGGATCTTTCCGGACCAGGGCTCGAACCCCTGTCCCCTGCATTGGCAGGCGGATTCTTAACCACTGCGCCACCAGGGAAGCCCGGCAATAACTTTTCAGGTACAACACTAAAAGCACAATCCATGAAAGGAATAATTGATAATCTAAACTTCATTAAAATTCAAAATTTCTGTTCTGTGAAAGACACTGTGAAGAGAATGAAATGATGGGCCATAGGCTGGGAGAAAATATTTGCAAAAGACGTATTTGATAAAAAATTGTCTAAAATATATGGAGAACTCTTAATATTCAACAGTAAGAAAACAACTCAGTTTTAAACATGGGCAAAATATCTGCACGGACATCTTACCAAAGAAGACAGACAAATGGAAATGAGCACGTGAGAAAATGGTCCACGTTATACGTCATCTAGGAAATGCAGATTAAAGCAAGGATGAAATACCACTGCACGCCTGTTAGAATGGCTAAAATCCAAAACACCAACAGCACCAAGTGCTGGCAAGGATCTGGAGCAACAGGAATTGTGATTTATTGCTTATGGGAATGCAAAATGGTGCAGCCGCTTTGGAAGATAGTTTGGCAGCGTCTTACAAAGCTGATCATAGCCTTGCCATACGATCTGGGAATCACATTCCTTGACATTTACTCAACTGAGTTGAAAACCACATCTGCACGTAATGTAGACATAAATGTTTATAGCAGCTTTATTCATAATTGCAAAAACAGGAAGCAACCAAGGTGTTTTTTAATAGCTGAATGGATAAACAAACTGTAGTATATTCATGCAATGCCATAGTATTCACTAATAAAAAATGGGCTGTAAAGCCATGAAAAGACCAAAAAGCAACTTTAAATACATATTATTAAGTGAAGGAAACCAATCTGAAAGGGGCACATACTGTGTGATTCCAGCTATATGACGTTCGGGAAAAGGCAAAACTATGGAGACAGTAAAAAGATCATTGGTTACCAGGGGTTGGGGGCGAGGGAGGGGTGAGTAGGTGGTTCACTGATTTTTAGGGCAGACTACTCTGTATGGTACTGTAATGGTGCACACATGACATGCAAATTTCTCAAACCCCATAGAACTGTACAACACCAAGAGCAAATGCCAGTGTAGACTACGGACTTTAGTTAATAATAGTGTATCAATATCGGTTCATTCATTTTAACATATGTACCACTCTAGCGCAAGGTGTTAATAATAGTGTAAACAGCGTGTGAGGGAGGGGAGAGAGAGGGTATGTTGGAACTCAGTACTTTCTGCTTAATTTTTCTGGACTTAAAAAATTTCTCTAAAAATAAAGTCTGTTATTTTGTTTTTAAAAGGTCTGTGCTTGGGAAGAAGCTGCATTATTATTTCTTCTGATTAATCTGTGTCAATTTATGGAAATGAAACTAATAATGCCATTTGACAGAATCCCTTTTCTTTCCTTAACCAGCCAGAATTTATACATATATGCTAGAGAAATCCAGACTTGTTTCACAACCTCTCGGCCAGAGCAATTTTCTCATCTTCTCCTTGTTGATGGATGGGTTATCTGCTGAAGAGAAGTATGGACTCCACCTTAACAATTTATATGCCCATCGGTAAGTGATTATACGTGTTCAGCCTGGTAGTTCTGCCTTCAAATTGTGGTTGCATTTTAGCGGTCTTAAATTTTCTTCTTATTTTTCAGAGAAGAAATGGTGACTTCTTTTAGGAGAATAGTTGGATATACTATTAGATTAGAACTATCTGTATAACAGGGCTGTTACCGTTTATTGAGTGTTTAGGTGAAGTTTTGTGTATGTGTATTAACTTGTGTTTCTATTTTCCTAGTTTTCAGATCAGAATAAAAAATTAGCGCACATATAAACTTTTATATTCCTTTGCCGTATTTTGGATATAACATTAGCTATGCATTCCTAATTTTCAGTAGTCTTTTGAAATAATGGGACATAATATTTGAGCAATTATGATTCATTAGTAACAGACGAGGTTACATAATGGCTTCAGATGAACAATACACATAAACTGGGGGGCTGATTTTCTGCAATGGAGGAGGAAAGTGTTTGTTAAAATGAGGATGCCTTGGTCACAGGAGGGCCGCGGAGGGGAGAATTCTTAAGACAGTGAGCTGAGGGGTGTCTTTGCAATGTGTGCATGTCCGCCGACTGCCTGATCCGGTGTGTCTTCCCACAAGGACTGGTCCAGATTTGGATAGGATGGGAGCGAGCCAATAAGGAGAGTAAACCCCATTCAGAGGAGAAGTGGGTGAGAGATAGGCAGAGAGGGAGCTGGGTGTGCGGGTCCACACACAGCAGTGAATTCCTGGCAAAGCAGGGAGGAGCTGGACTCTGAGAGAGACGTGGATTTACTTCAGATATCTATTGACACCTGAGTTATTGTTTCCTGATTGTTTGTTATTGGATTCGAGAAGAATGGTGTGAGTGGTCATGATTTTATGAGAACTTTTGTGAGAGAAAATAAAGGATGCTTGGGGAGGCGGATCATGGCCTGAGGACCAATCATGTTGTTTGAGAGTTGAAGGTGGAGAGCTGATTGGACAAGTAGGTGGAGATGTCAAATGCAAGCTGAGAGACGGGGGATTTTCCAGGGGCGATGGGGTCTTAATGGAGTGGAACCCCTAGACCTGTCCGAGAAGGGACAGAACAATATCTGTGGTCGCCATTGTCTGGGTTGGCGGGGGGTGAATGATGTGGGGCGTGGGACCGGGGGAGGGGAATGAATTGGCCGTATTCGAAGTCACTGTTACATGATTAACAGCTCTTATTCAGTTTCTTTGAAAATACTACATCCAGCAGTATAGATACACTTTATCATGTCAAACAGGAGACGTGAGGTAAGGAGGCCTCATCAAAATCGTTTTTTATTCAAAGTAAGAGACTATTTGGAGGTTTACTGTCCCCCCAAAACAACAGAAATTCAGAAGAAGAAAACACCGATATCAAAGCATGATTGCCCAGACGAAAGTGATTTAAAGATAGAAATTCTAAGCTACCAGAGCATTAGAAATGTTTTTTTTTTTAAATCCCTTCATTTCATGAAGGAGAAAATCAAACCCAGAACCATAAGGAGGTCTATACCGAAGTGAATATATTATACAACAGCAGTACTGAGAAACCCCATTACTTGGAATTCATTTTTTGTTTTTCTACATCGCACATCTCTAATGGGAGGAAAAGCCTCAGATTGGGGACCGTGGGGTAGGTGTTCAGGGCAGCCTGTGAGGAAGAAAAGTCTTGGAGTTTTGTGTTCCTGATCTTTCTTATTAGCAAAAGCTCAAAGCTGATAGCAGGCCATTGGCTTCGGTGCGTCCGCGCGTGTGTGTGAGTGCATGTACATGCGTGTGCCCGCGTGCACGTACATGCGTGTGCTTGGCATTGCAGACGCGGAGCCACTGAAGAACAAAAGGCAACAATCTAATCCAGCATTCAGAGAGACAATTCAACTTCTTGGTCTGTGGCTTGGACCCCTCTTTTGAAGTGTGAGAGCGTGTAGGAGAAAACAAGCATTTCTTTATTGACCTCCATTCCAACATCCGTTTCTCTTTGCAAAAGAGGGTTTGGAATCACTTAGGCTATTTAGAAAGTCAAACGTCAGGGACTGCTTTGTGAGAAGCTCTGACAGGAAAGAACTCCGAAAAATCATGAATAATTCAAGTCCCTTGAACAAAGAAGTTATTTTATTAAAATGAATTATAAATATCTAATGGGCACAAAACAGCATTCCTCAGTAAAAATGTACACCGCCACTCCAGATTCATAAGCCATGTCCACTGGAACATTTGTACGATGAGAATTCCACAGACAAAATATTCTTTCATGATAAGACAAGCTGTTTTGCAAGTTATAACGCATTGTACATCCCAGTGTTTTTGTGATATATGAATCTTCCAACAGTTACAGTGCTGGTCAGGCTTGAGGAGCTAATATTTGTATGATATTTGAATTTGGGTCGGGGTATCACCTTTGCTTAGTAATTACACATATTAGGTACCACAATTTTGGAAATTGTTTGGCTGGTTTACAATAAGTAGTATAAAGTTGAACTTGTTAGCCTTCTAACCTTTCACAAATTGATGATCCTTCTGAGTTTCCTCCTTGAAATCAGTATTCATAGGTAAAGTAGATCACTGTGCATATAAAAATATAAACATAAACAATATATAAATAAATCTGTATAAACATAATATAAATAAATATATAATATTGCTTATATATAAACAATATTATCATCACACCTACTTATCTGATTTTATTTAAAAGATGTTGCTATGTCTATTAAATAGAGCAAATCAGCACCTAGATTACCATCTGAATATTCCTTTGCTTATTCAATACTTATTCCATAATATAGCTTGTCTTGAAATTTTGATGAAGTATGTTGAGTCTTAAAGCAAACGTTACAAAATTTTGCAAGCCTGCCTCCTTCAAATACATCTTTTCTTTATTACTACCAATTCATTACCCACATGAAACATAAAATAGGCATGGAGCAGGAATTGCGAGCTGAAGGCATATCCAATGTTTATCACGTGTCCTTACATGATTAGAACTCCAGAGAGAAGAAAGTATTGTTGTAACTAATGCTACTGTAATTAAAGCTACAAAAGCGTTTTGTTTTTCTTTTAACTTTGACTCTGTTTTTGGAGCTAAAAGTTTTCAAAGTCTCACATGAAAATTTATGCAGGTTTATTTCAGTGTTAAATGCACCTAAAAATACTTCCTTGTTTGTAAAATTGGAACAGTATCTAGAACAAGCAGATAGCACTCTTGCTTATGGAATAGAAATGGTACAGATATAGACATCAGCTCCTACAGCTTAACTGAACGCAAACAATATTTATAACACTTTGCATAAAATCTTCCTGGACAGATTGTTGAAACAACGGCAACAAGAAAAATGTCTATAGGTCTCAACATTTTGAGCAGCGGCAGTAAGGGTGCATTGGTTGAGAATTCCCACTAGATGGCAAACTCTCCACAAAGTTAGACAGGAGCAAAAAAAAAAAAAAAAAACATCATTAAAGGTTTCTTTTTTATTTATGGTTCTTCCTATGATTTACTTTTTCTTTTTCCTGGCTGTTTGTTTTTCAAGTTTTATCTCAAAAAAATACTAACATTACATCTGGGCAATAAATGTCATTTATGTTTCTGGGAATTGAGATTTAATGAAAGTTAGAAATAGTCATTAATTGCTTATCTTCAACCTACTTTAAACAGCTTTTATGGATGTAGTCCCAGAACAGTTGGGCTCTGAAATACAAAGAAATTATTCCGAATCTCCCTTCATATTGATTAATGATGGAAATGATTGTGGTGCTACATAAGAACGTTCTCAGCAAAGGTCAGATTTTGAATTACAAGCTGAGAGCAAGCGATGTTTGACTCAGTGCATGACCTGTTTCTAACCTTGTGTGTTAGTGAAAGGAAACTCTGACTCACTGAGTACTTGAACTTGTAAGTGCTGCTGGGGTACACCTGTCGCAGTAGATGCTGCAGCAATGAACTCTCAACGAATGTTCAGTTTTTGCTAAGGCTTTATTATGTGCATTGAACTTCAGTTGAGAAAGACACATAATTTTTAAAAAGGTAAGGGTAAACTTAAGTATTCTTTGAGGATGATCTTGTGATATAATACAAGATTCACTCAGTACACATTTTAGGCATGCATCCTTGAAGGTGCTCCCAAGACAAAGATTTGAGACAGGAGGTATTATATGTTTTTTCTTTTCTAAAAAATTTTTTATTGAAATGTAGTTGATTTACAATATCATGTAGGCTTCAGGTATACAGCACAGCGATTCGGTTATACATGTATATATATATTTTTTCACATTCTTTTCCCTTACAGGTTATTACATAATATTGAGTATAGAATTCACAGATATTTTCATTTCACACTACGGTGGTTGTAGATGTCTCCAAATGTCATTTACACTCTCACTGCTTTAGATTTACAGTAGTTATGAGGCTTGTGGCTAGGTCTTGTTTTTGTTTGTTTGTTTGTTTTTAATTTAATTTTTCTTACAGCAGGTTCTTATTATTTATCTATTTTATACATATTAGTGTATGTATGTCAATCTGTAATGTGTTTCTAACTGATTCTATTATTAATTATTATCTAAATGATAATCACAGTCGTAATGTATGCAACTTACGGAGCGCTTAGCATAGGCCGGTCCCTCTCCTAGTTTTCCCTTGTCTCGGCGAATCCTCGCCGGTAATTAAGCAGAAGGTGCAGGACCGCGTTCTCATTGGATGGCCCAGGACATGAGGATGGAGAGGCCAACCAGGGGCCCAGTTTGACTCTTGGCCACAACCCTGTATTGTCTCTGCAGCAACGTTGCCTATAAATAACACCAGCTGCCTTTGCACCTTTGCATCAAAGAGATTTGAAAGAAAATGAGAGGGGAAGCACCGGGTCAGTCTGTATGTGTGTTTTTATTTACAGTCGGTTCAGCAAAACTAACTTAGGACATGCTAGAGTCTGTTCCCTCTAACTACCATAAAAAAGCAGTTCTGGGTCATTTCTTTATCCAGCAGTAACATAAGAAAAATTCTGAAGTGCATTCATTACGCTA